ACACACACACACACACACACACACACACACACACACACCACCACCACCACCACCACCACCACCACCACCACCACCACCATCCAGCTGCCTGACTCCCTTTGTAATCTGGAGGAAAGCTTCCTCAACCTCTCCTGAACGCCAGTTTCCTCTCAATGACTGAATACTTCACCAACAGCTGACTCTTCATTAGCAGCCCTCCTTTGCAGTTATCCAACCAGCCAGTGAAATCCACCTAGCTGCCCCGTTAGAGCAGACTCAGAATCAAAGAGCTCACAAGCAGGTTGTTCATGCTTTTAGGTTATATCTCCATCCCCTACCTCGAAACAATTCAAACACCTTGGCCTATTCCAAAAGGGAATCTGTGGGTCCACAGATGTTCAACACAGGCAAGAGCAAGCTGCTATTTCTGCAATTTACTGTTTAGAATTTTTACCTAACTCCCAGTGTTTCTGTAAACATGACAAGGAAGGGGGTACATTTGGTACATGTGGGGGTACAAAGAGGAAGATGCCAACGCCCGTAGTCCAAAGGACTGCACCAGCTTCTACAATGGCCGTCTGAAGCCAGAGCATCAAATGGAGGAGAAACAGGGCATTTCTGCCAGTATGTTCAAAGGGTGGCTAATTCCCAGAACACAGCCCTTCTCTGCCTCTCGGCTCCCTTCAAGACTCAGCCTAAATCTGCCCTTCCGCAGGAGGCCTTTCTGGGTCATCGCTCCCCTTCCTCAGTGTCTTCCCCTGGAGATCCCTCCCATTTCCCATTGGCTCCTCGTGGACAGCCAAGTATTACCGAAGCACCGAGTGGGGCCGCATTGACTCACACTATCCTCAAACTGAAAACACAGGCATCCGTCTTCAGTGCACAATTCAGCGTCCCCCTGCCCCAGCCCACCCCATTGCCCATCTTTCCTAAACACTTTATGCCTTGCAAATTACGCATCTAAGAGCAAGAGCCTTCCAGCTCAGCTGGCCAGCTGAGGGACCTGCCGAGCTATCTCTGCCTCTGCTTTTGTAGACTGCCGAGCTGTCTCTCCATGCTCAAGGATAATCGATGGTAAACACAAATCAACTCCAGGAATCGATGGCAGAGCACCCTGGCAGATTGAACATTTTTAAATGATTACCAGCTCTTGAAATAGCACCCAGAGACCTAGAGAAAGCCATGGAAGAGATCTGTGCTTGGATGGAATCAGAAGTTTTGTTTGTTAAAACTGAGTGATGGGAAAAATCATTCTGCAAATAACAGATTTCAATATAGAAATCATAGCCAATGCAATTGTAGAGAGAGGCAAATGTGATATTGTAGAAAGAGATAAAATCTACAGATAATTCAAAGGTCCTTTTGTGGTAGGGATTTCGCTATGTCCCTTCAACAGCTTTCTCCAAGGACAAGCAGTAAGAAACAACAGTGACTCATTCCAGCTTTGACTATTCTCCCTTTTCCTCCACGTCATCTAATTCTGGCACTGCTAAGGAGAGGAAGAACAGAAAGGGAGAGTGGGAAGGAGGAGAAGGGTGTGATAACTGAGTAGGACGGGGTTAGCAAGAGCTCCTGACAATCTTGTCTCCAGGCAGTATAGAATAGAAGAAGAGTGTCAGAAGATCCCTGTAGGAAATCCCACTCCAGAAGAGTAACTACACAGAGATGATTAATACAGGCTTTGGAAGTATGGCACAGCTGAAGATTTTGAGATTGGCCAGGTACCATTCTGGAGAGGTAGACCAGGTAGAGCTCATATCAGTTCATGGCTGAGGATGGCCATTGGGCAGAGATTCGGGGTGCTGATGCAATCTGTGGTGGAAATTTCTGAGAAAACAGATAGAGAGTCAGCCTTGAAGCCAGAAAGGTCCAGTTCAAGGCCCACCCATGATACAAATAGGTTAAAAGATTCTCAGCAAATCACTTCACCTTTATGTCATACAGGTGACTCTCTCCATTTCAGGAAAGGTATATCAATGTGCATGGGTAGAAGTTTTCTCACTGGGAATTCCCACTACTAATGAAGTCCCAGGTCCATTCCCTCTCTCTATTCCTAATGTGCATTTACTATCATGGCAGTGGAGAGCTAGGCTGTCATTACATGGGGAAACCCACCACATTCATCTGCTCCCCACATGACTGATGTCTTATGGAGGCTCACTCATTCCCTTTGGTAGTGTATCCATAGCAGAAGAATGAGGAGAATTAAGAGAAAGAAGAGGAGCCCGATCTATCACAAATGACCCCGCCCGGTCCCTGGATAATTGAGTATTGAAGGCATTTTTCCTTTATCACTTTGCTATAATCATCCAATAGTACTGCCTTGAAGTGTGGCAGCATTTCAATATGGCATTCTGCTCCAACGCTAGCCGGGCTTAGCCATTTGTTCAGGATCACGCGGACGATTTGCATGCAGGGAGTTGCTGAACCTTGTTAGAAAATCAATAACCTGTTCTGTCGGTAGCCTCAGGTAAAGTTTCTCTTGGTTTCTAGAAGAAGTTAGGTCAATTTATCATCCTAGAGTCCTCCAACATTTCTTTGCTTTGGAATACTGTTGTTTGGGCTTCCCACTTCAGCTAAAATTCTAATTTAATCAATAGCAAATTGAACTGGAAGGGTGGGGGGGAGCTCTAAAGATGTCTCAGGAAAGCATCCAGTGTTTTTTAGGCCCCAGGCCAATCAAAACGGAATGAACAGAAGGTAGCGTAGGTGGGATAAATGGGGCCTAGCTGCTGCCTCATCAAGGACTCATAACAGTCAAAAACATCTAACAATCAACTTGAAAAATAACCGGGTGCTCATTTCATAGCTGGCACGCAAAGGGCCCTTCCCTCGGCTAGGATTTACCACCCAGGCACAAAGGACGGCACACGCAGGGCTTACCGGTCTTTCCCTGTCTCCTTCTTAAACACACCATCGCAGTAACTCATGCGCTTCTCTGTGGTCACGTAAATCTGGGCACCCGGGTAGACCTCCACAGCTTTTCTCAACATGTTGTAGACAATGCCATTGCCGTCTTTCCTCATGTTCCGGAAGGGCCCCCAGACCACGTAGATGGTGGAATTGGTTTCTTTGAAGAAGTAATCGGGATTCTTAAGCAGGAGGGGGACGCTGGTGTGAGACACGACTCGGATCATGGTCTTCCGGCCCACATCCTCCTCGTAGCCCTTGGTAGGGGCATTATTCATCCTCCAAATGCAAGAGGACCTGTCTATTTCAGTGCCCACCTTCTGGCCGGCCATCTGACCAGAGTTGGAAACGATGGCACAGAGATCGCAGTCGAGGTGCAAAGGCTGGCAAAGAGAGGAGGAGGAAGAAAGAAAGGATCAGGTTAATCGGTAACCTTCACAACTTCCAGCTGCATGGGGGAGGAGGAAGAAAGCCTGCTATTCCGGCAGCGAATTAGGAGAGAATCTCTCCGCAATATGGCCCCGGTGCTTTGTGAAACTTACTTCTGGGGAGTCGGCTGGTCCCAGGAACGGTCAACAGGCACTGCGGAACAAGCACTCCGGTGCTCTCTGCCCTGCCAACACGTAAATTAAAGCTAAAATGTGTTCTCTTTGAGGACAGCTCTCTGCTTAAGGGAGGAAATTTGCCCTAAAGGATGGACAGCTGCAGTCACAGTCAAGAAACCCTGAGTTCAAATTCCTCTTCTCATATTTACTATCTGTGTATCACAGATAGGCAAGTCACTTGACCCCTCTGTCTGGCCTCGGTTTACCCATCTGTGAAATTAGGATGCTAATAACTGTAGGTTTGGCTTCCAATCTCAGTTCTGTTACTGCCTAACTCTCTGTCCTCAGTTTCCTTATCTGTAAAATAAGCAGTTTGGATCAGAATTCTTTCAATGGTCCTTACAGCTCTATACCTCTGATGCTAGTCTCTTGTCTCCAGGAGTTAGTGTAAGATTCAAATAATATAATATATGTAAAGTGCCTTGACAATTTATGGTTCTATGCAACCCAAAGGAGTTCATCAAGGATATTACAAGTGAGAAAGGTAAACATAAGCAGACGTTGATTGGATATTTTTACTTATCTAGAAGGACAGATGGTTCCAAAGAGTTTCATTTTGAGCACAGAGAGTTTCCAAGAGGAACGGTTTCTCCATGATCAAAGGCATCTTGAATGAGTTCTCACACAGCATAATGTTGATCAGCGAATGAATCTATTTAAACCTTGACATCAGCTGGCCTTTGGAGTCACTCTTTCCTCAAGAGCCCTGAGCAGCAGGGCTTCCAATGAAACCGCCCTAGGAGGAGGCATCCTGAAATCGATGTGGGTCAATTTCCCCCTCTAGGACATTAAAGAGCTTTCACCAAATGGCAGACACAAGAAAACCGATCGTTAAATCATGCAGCGAACCCTGGACTCTTTGACCCAGAAGACGATGTGAATCTACAGAAAATCTCTCCGAATGCCCCTCTGTGAAAATGGGAATGGTTTCTTTTCCCACCTTCGCAGTTCCATCCTTAATCTTCACTGCATCCCACAGAAGCAAGTTAATTAAAAATAATGTATTAAAAAGGATGATATAACCTCCTAAAACTAATTTGCAGATTTAATGCTATACCAATCAAACTACCAAGGGGATACTTTATAAAGCTAGACATAATAATAACAAAATTCAATCGGAGGAACAAAAGGTCTAAGATCTCAAGGGAAATAATGAAAAAAAGAAGTAGGAACAAAAAGGGACTAGTTCTTCCAGACATCAAATTATATCATAAAGCAGCATTTGCCAACTATCTGGTGCCGGTTTAAAAAAAAAAGTGAAATGGAGATCAGTAGAACTGATTAGAAAAGCAAAAATCAGAAACAACTGAAATCTACAACCCAGTATTTGATAAACCTAAGCAAAAATTACTTGGGGGAAAACTCACTATCTGATCTACTGCGAAAACTGGAAAACAGCTTGACAAAAATTAGGTTTAGCCCAATATCTTACACAACATATCACAATAGGTTAAAAAAGGATATGATACCAAAATATTAAAGATCACTCTACGTAAAATTGAAAGAAAACCAGATGAGGCCATATCTGTCATGGGCAAGATTTGAATCCAGGACTTTCTGACTTTGAGGCTAAACCCCATCCACCAAGCTGCATTGTTTTGCTCAAAAACAAAGATATCATTTTTTAATGTATTGAGTACCTCATGTGATTGGCCGACTTTCTTTCTTTGTGGTAGTGGGAGGTCTGTATATGTGATTTCACCAATGTGGGGAACTCTCTCGATGTGGAGACTCCCAATCACCACCAATTTAGAGGCAGACATCAAATACTCCAGAACTTACAGATATTAGAGTTGTCTGGAGTACTGAGAAGGGAAGAGACACGGCCAGTTCACACAGCCAGTATCCGTCAAAGTCATAGCTTGAACCCAGATCTTCCTGGCTCGAAGGCCAGCTATGACCCTCTACACCATGGTCCCCCTCAGTACATCGTGAGGAGTTTTCAGCACAGCAAGAGAGAGAACATAGACTCTGAGAAAATACTTAGAACGAATGCATTACAGTGGGGACAAGAAGATGGGTCAGTGAATGACTGGTGTGATAATTCTGCCAATTTACAGATGGGTAAACTGAGAAAGAGGTGCCACTGATACACCCAGCCATATCTACCGAGTTAATCAGCAACGGATCTTCCCCAAAGTCTCTTAAATAGCACCATCCATTTGACCATGTTCTGAACCTTGAGAGAGATGCTTCTACTGTCCATGCTGTTCCAGCTTAGGCTCTGTATCAACAGCTCAAGAGAAGAAATGCGGTAACAAAATGATTCCAGCAGATTTGGGGATGTTGTATTGTTCCTAAGAAAGGCCATTTGTTAAAGCACATTAAGTTCATTAATTAATCTATCAAACCACAAGCATTTCTGCTATGAGGAATGTATAGAAAACATGAATTTGTTCCAACATGATGATATATTTGGAAACATTTTGTGCATAACTTGAATTTTTATTTTGCTTCTGTGAGATTTCTTCCTGAGAAAAAACAAGAATGTTGAAAACTGCCCCACTTCTCACTAACTTGTGAGTTGCAGCCCTTCCCCTGCCGACTTCCACAAGCAAATTCCAGCTCTTTGTCAGGCGAAAAGGGCCATTTTTATTGTACATGTTCTGCTGTGGTAGCATCTCTGGGCCCAGAGAACTGGTCAGGACAGGCCAGTGTCGGCCCAAGGCTGTGGACAAGGCCATTATTTATTGAAGTATTTATGAATTTCTCAGCCATCTAATGTATTTAAACTGCCCTCCCATTTTTATTGGGTTCCTATCATTTTTATGTGTTACTGATGACATTTGTGAACACTGCGCCCCATCTCCATTTTGCCCCTAAGCTCTGTGATTTTTATTATGAGATACTCTTTGGGAATGCATAGGCATAGCTGAACTGCCTGGACAGTGGTGCTCGAGATGCAAATATATGCAGAAAACAGTTTCCCCTTCAACATAATTTCTGCTAAGCCGTGATACTCCCTTAGTACCCAGACCCATCATGCAGGGCCTTCGGTGGTCAATGGAGAGACACCAGGGCCGAGTCAGAAGAGATCCGGGTTCTAAGCCCAGCTCCATCATTTAGTGGCCATGTTATCATGAGCTTCAGTTTTCTCCTCAGCAAAATGAGGCTTGAGATAGCCCCTACCCTCACAGGGCTGCTGAGAGCATCGAAATGCATGCAAAACATTAGGTAGTCAAGTGGTGCTGGAGAAAGTTCACTGGACTTGGAGTTGGGAAGATCTGAGAGTCAGTCTCAGATAAAATCAGTATTAAATTTAATAATTTATTAAACACCTAATGAATGCCAGGCACTGTGCTAAGCCCCAGGGATACAAAGAACGGCAAAAGAAAGTACCTGACCTCAAGGAGCTTATAATCTAATAGGAGAGGCAACATGCAAACATATATACAAACAAGCTACACCCAGGATAAATAGAAAAATAACAATGAACAGAGGGAAGGCACTGGAATTAAGAAGGGTCGGGGAAGGCTTCCTACAGAAGGTGGGATTTTAGTTGGGACTTGAAGGAAGCCAGGAAGCTGCATGGTCAGAGCAGAGGAGGGAGAGTGTTCCAGTCAGAGAGAATAACTTGAGACGGAGAGATGGGCACTGCCAGGAGGCTGGGGTACCTGGATCAAAGAGTCCATGGAGGGAGGGAGTTATAAGGTATAAGAAAATTGGAAAGGTGAGAGGGTGAGGCAGGTTATAAAGGACTTTGAATGCCAAATAAAAGATTTTGTATTTGATCCTGGGGTATAGAGAACCATTAGATATAATTGAGTATGGGGTGGGGGTGATATGGTCAGGTCACCACTTTAGGAAGGTCACTTTAGTTGCTGGATGAAGGATGGATTAGAGTGGGGAGAGCCTTGAGGTAGGCAGACCCCCAGCAGCCATTGCAATAACCCAGGAGATTGGACCATTGAGGTCATGAGGGCTTGTTAAAGGGTGGTGGTGCTATCAGAGGAAAGCAGGGGGCATATATGAGAGATACTGTAACAGTCAAGTCAATGGGCCTTGGAAACATATTAGATATGGTAAGGGGTGTGAGAGATACTGAGTAGCTGAGGATATCATCCTAAGTAGTGAGCCAGGGGGACCAAGAGGATGGTGGTGCCCTCCATAGTAAGAGGGAAGTTAGGAGGGGGAAGGGGAAAGAGAATGGGTTCAGTTTTGGACACGAGCATAAGACATCTATTAGATTTCAAGTTGGAGATGCCTGAGAGGAGTTAGAGATATGAGACTAGAGCTTAGCAGAGCAGTCAAGGCAGGAAACATAGATTTGAGCCTCATCAGCATAGAGATGATCATTAAATTCATGGGAGCTGAAGAGATTCCCAAGTGAAGTAGGATATAGCAGGAGAAGGAAAAAAGGGCTCAGCATAGAGTCCTGTGGGACAGTCAGGGTTAGTGGGCTTGACCTGGATGAAGATCCAGCAATGAGGACAGAGGAGTGGTCAGACATGAGAAGAACCAGGACAGAGGGATGTCCAGAACACCTAGAGAGAAGACGGTATCCAGGAGGAGACTGTGCCCAACAGTGTCCAAGACTGCAGAGAGGATGGAGAACAGGCCACTCACTGGATTGGACATTTAGGAGATCCCTGGTCACTTCGGAGAAGGCAGTCTGGATGGCATGATGAGGTCAGAAGCCAAATTGTAGACAGGTAAGAGGGTGAAAGGAAAGGAAGTCAGGGCATCAATCTGAGATGCCTTTTCAAAGAATTTAAACACAAAGGGCAGAGCAGATAGAGGATCACAATTATCAGGGATGGAGGATGGGGGAGCCATGA